TCGACTACGTACATAAGGTTGGCATCGAAGTACATAAGGTTGGTGGAAATTACGACAAGTTTTTTGACTCTTTTCAAGGATAGTGGTCTCCCCAAAATGCAGGTTCAGTCCATGAAGAAAACGTTGTGCGTAGGAGGTAATTCACTCGCACAGTTCCAATCCACTGCCCCCACGATTAATAATAATAATAATAAGATTATTCGGAGATCGTGAGATGCGGTCTGGTGTGACGTATGTTTTAGAAAAACATTTTCTTTATCATGCCAACGTTTCCATGTTTATTGAGATCATCTTCTGGGCCTGGGATTTATAAACATGGTTTAAATTATACAAATACGTGTAGGATGAGAAAAAAATGAATTTCTACAATGCTAGAAATTTTAGATTAAAAAAAACGAATTTATACAATACTAAAATTGTTAGATAAAAAACTGAATTTATACAATTCTAGAAAATTTTAGATTCAAACTTGATCAAACAAAATAGATCGATACGTTGGCACGATAAAGAAAATGTTTTTCTAAAACCTATGTCACACCAAACCGCAACTGACGATTTCCGAATAATCATTGACTAACGGTCACTAAACACCACACATAATAATAAAAAACTTTATTATTATTAAATTCACTAATTTCGTGGTCCGCTTGACCAATTAATTTATTACAATTAATTAAGGTTTTTAGTAGAGATAAAAAAACTCAATGGTACGAGCGAGATTCGAACCCACGATCTTCGGCTAGATACTCCGCTGCTCTACCACTTGAGCTATCGTGAACTCGATCCACTCGACACTAACTTCCCATCTCAACCCCACCTTTTTGAATTTTCCTGACTTTTTGCCATTTTTGAAATGTCGTGTAATCGGATTGGATTCTCGACGACAAATGAAATGGCCACGGAGAGCTTTATTGAAGTATACTTCATTTTAAATCATTAAATTCACTAATTTCATGGTCCGCTTAACAAATTAATGTATTACAATTAATTAAGGTTTTTAGTTGAGATAAAATGGCAAAAAGAAGGGAAAATTCAAAAAGGTGGGGTTGAGATGGGAAGTTAGTGTCCGAGTGGATCGAGGTCACGATAGCTCAAGTGGTAGAGCAGCGGCGTATCTAGCCGAAGATCGTGGGTTCGAATCCCGCTCGTGCCATTGACTTTTTTATCTCAACTAAAAACCTTAATTAATTGTAATATATTAATTGGTCAAGCGGACCACGAAATTAGTGAATTTAATGATTTAAAATGAAGTATACTTCACTAAAGCTCTCCGTGGCCATTTCATTTGTCGTCGAGAATCCAATCCGATTACACGACATTTGAAAAATGGCAAAAAGGAGGGAAAACTCATAAGGTGGGGTTGAGATAGGAAGTTGATGTCCGAGTGGATCGAGGTAACGATAGCTCAAGTGGTAGAGCAGCGGCGTATCTAGCCGAAGATCGTGGGTTCGAATCCCGCTCGTGCCATTGACTTTTTTATCTCAACTAAAAACCTTAATTAATTGTAATTATTTATAATTTTATATAGATGACTATTTTCACCATGTTAAATGTGTTTGCCTCTACCTTGTCCTATGCTTAGTCAAAGAGCAATTACTTTACTTAAAACAAAAAAATGTTTTTTAAATTCACATACTTCAGTGTTACATTACTTTTTTAAAATAAATGTTTTAAATAAAATAACTATTTATTTAGAAGATTTATATATGATGTGTGTCATATCGCTTCGGGTATCTTCCATACTTTTACAATATTTTTTTTAATTTAAAAATATTTTGATCGATCCAGATTTGATCTGATTTGATTGATCCAGATCAATCCATTTCGTTTGACACACTGACACTAGGTATCGTGTAAAAATATTGGGTAACACAGCTTGACACACACAGTGAATCAATTTTAAATTATAACCACTTGTAAAACATTATCTTGATGGACGTCATTTTGTTTTTTATTCAGAAATGCCCGTTTGTTAATTTATAGGGTCGACTGGGCTTGGTTTTATGTTAAAATCAATATTTCATCACTTTTAGAACAAAGATAATTCCTTAATTTTATTTTCTGTTATTACTGATAACTCCAACCTACCTTTGATGACAGTTTTTTCAACAAAATTGCTACACCTAGTTCTTCCAAACGAAATATTTACGTGATAAAATAAAGTTAATTTTGCAACCGCTTATACGGAAATAATTATCGACTAATATTGAAAATTAGAATTTGTACTTTATCGTTTTTTTACTGCAATTTTGAGATATAGAATATATATTCTGAAAGATATAGTTGTGTCTAAACTTTAATCAAGTCCATGCCTCATTTTCAATTTTTTATTGTCTACTAAACAATTCCATTTTCAGCACTGGTGTTCTACTGAAAACCGTATATCTTAGAAATAAAATATAAAAGAAAAACATAAGAAAATATAAGAATATATGCTTTGGGGGTTATGCGTACGAAAAATAAACTTTTCTTAAAGTTCCGAGGGAATATTACTCAAACTTAAACCCCATATATCACGCTTAACCACATTGTAATTTATTTTGTATTCATCGACAGTCACAATTCGTCTAGAAGAAATAAATCGTCCGGTCCTGTAAACGTTAACAACGTCTATGTAAATAATTGGACATTTGCGATAAACCGTTCAAAACCCAAAGTTAGATTTTTAAGCAATTTCCGTTACTTGAAAATTTATTCTAAAAACATGGGTGGGCTACGTAAAATATACCAAGGCGAAAATTAAATACTGCCAAAGATTCGTCAAATTATTCTCTGCCGAGATATGCCCCACGAATGGTAAATTATCGCAGATGAGTCGAAGAATTTCTTCTTGTGAAGAAGTCGTACATACATGGAAGACTTAACTTGATTAAAAAAACAAAAAAACATTTCAAATATTAAATAGCAACTGGTAAATTTAACATAATTATCATTTGGAAAGGCTTCAAAATTAAATAGATATAAATTTAAAGATTAAGAGACAATTTCATTGTAAAAGTATCGATTTATAGATGGGGTTAGTTTAGAAAACAATTTTTATTATATATAAAAAATTATATTTTTTCTAATTTAGTTAAACATTTCCGAAACAAGAGAGATTCATGTATTTTGTGGAAAGAAATGCACACAAAACTTCCTAAAACAGTTTTTTGGATTTGGATTTATACAGACTAAAATCAGCACATTTATTCATAAATAATATTACCCTCGTAACAAAATATGTATGTATTATAATTTAATGCCTCCTTAATTATAGAGTCACAGGAAATAAAGTTAGCGGTGGGTCAACCTCCAATTAATACGGCCTAAGTTAGGCTTAGGATTAGTGTAGTTGAGTGGGACAGACAACCAAGGGCGACGAGGGTGGCGGTGTGCGTCGATGAGGATATCTCTACGGCATGGCCGGATCTTTAGAAAATAATTGATTCTTTCATCTAATAAGGTAACAGTGGACCCAAAGAAATTTGGAGGTGTTCCAGAATTTACTGTTTTTTCAAGCTGTCGGAATCAGGAAGCGTAGATAGACACTAGTTCTAAAGAAAGTTTAGCTTCTAACAAAAGTTTATTTAGATTTTAAGATAAGTTTCATTTCGTCTGTAAGTTTGTTCTCAATTTTTTATAGTGTTACTCGTAGAAAATTATTCGTTGCTTTGTCCTTGCTGTTGTTGTTTGTTCCTTGCTTGATAAATGCGTCTTTTTGAGTGTGTAAATATTGTGTACTATTTTTTCAATTAATTAATCTTTATGAAAAGTATTGGTTGAGATAAAATAGTCAGTGTCACGAGCGGGATTCGAACGCACGATCTTCGGCTAAATACGCCGCTGATCCAAAAACTTGAGCGATCATGACTCCGATCCTCTCGGACACTACCTTCCTATCTCAACCTCAAATTCGAGAGGTGAGGTTGAGATGGGAAGTTAGTGTCCGAGCGGAACGAAGTCACGATAGCTCAAGTGGTACAGCAGTGGCGTAGTTAGCCCAAGATCGTGGGTTCGAATCCCGCTCGTGCCATTAACTTTTTTTTCATCTCAACTAAAAACCTTAATTAATTGTAATTATTATTAATAGTGGGGGCAGTGGATTGGAACTTTGCGAGTGAATTACCTCCTACGCATAACGTTTTCTTCATGGACTGAACCTGCATTTTGGGGAGACCATTATCCTTGAAAAAGTGAAAAAACTTGTAATTTCAACTTATCCAACTTTATGTACTCACTAAAAACCTTAATTAATTGAAAGATATTAATTCGTCAAGCGGACCACGAAAACTAGTGAATTTAATATTAATAGTTTACCCTATATGAAAATAAGCTTACTATACTATAGTATTAAAAGTTTAATATATATTTTTTTTCTAACGTCGTATTACCATTATATTTCTGAACTGCCATATTTGTCGTTTTTTCTAGTTCATTATTAAAAACCTTTAATTTTTCTTGAATCTACCCATCGTTCCTGAAAAAACGATTAAATGTTGTCAAGCTTTGCGAACTTGCTAATCTAATTTTCTGTAAATATTCTATACATTTACTCTTCTGATTATATTTACAATCATTGATAATTTAAAAAAGCTTAACTTTGGTATTAAAGTTATGCACATCTCTTTATTCTCAGAAACTATATCATATTGCAAAGTTTTTCTATTAAACCCAACCATCTCATCACCCACCCTACTCTATACAATTTTTAGACATGGATAATGCGAACAAGAATGATGTTATTTTCAAAAAATCGTTTCCATTTGATACATACATCAATTTTCTATCGTAGTATTTATTTAACCATCATCAATTATATTTCTTATGAATTACATTAGTAATGCGACCAGTTAATTAGCCGTCCATGTTAAACAAGATGTTTATTAAAAACTCCATTGTTCTATTAAAAGGTTTAATGGTATTTTACATGTAACATAAATAAAATATCTTTCATTTTGATATCATTTCGTTAACGTGTTGTAAATAGTTAAGGATAACAATTTTTCTGGTGTTGATTTCAGTTCTTGGATGATGGGCAAGCGGAGGTGTTCTAATGGTTTGCCGACTGGGCGGTCATTTCCGTAGCAAGATTGAGCGGTGTGTCGTTATGGAGCTGAACGACACTTTTAACTTTAACTTATCCGAAGCGTACCATATCCTCCTGGAGCAGCGCAACACGGACCACAATGTCAACCCTTTTACAGAAGCGATCCTCATCGGCGTGTACGGCTTCCTCATAGTGGTCGGCCTCCTCGCCAACATCCTCCTGAGCATCGTCATCGCCCGGAGGCCGCAGATGCACACGGCGCGTAACCTTTATATAGTCAACCTGACGATATCCGACATCACGTTATGCCTCATATGCATGCCGTTCACGCTCGTTGCGATATTGAGGAGGCAGTGGAACCTCGGTCTCGCACTTTGCAAACTCGTACCGGCCTTGCAAGGTACCAACACGATGGTTTCCGTCGGTACCATCACAGTCATCGCATTGGACCGGTATTACACGATAATTAAAGGTCAAGACGGGCCTACTACAAGAAGAAGGGTCATCGTTTCCATCGCCCTCGTCTGGTTTTTCTCAGTCCTAGTGAGCTTACCCCTCGTCGTTTTCCAGGTAAGTGATTTTTTTCTATTTCTTGCTTCAACTATTAAGCATCGTCTCACAAAATCCCTTGAAAACCGTGATGACCGAATGGTTAGGGCGTCCGATCCGTATTTACCACGTCAGAAATACTGTGTTCGAATTCCAGCCATATCCTTGCACTTTAATGGTCTTTAAAAAAAGAGTTTGCAAATGTCTACAAAACAACCCATTTTACACTCTGGATGGATTTTTTAACGGAGAGGTTGAAAAAATGTAAAATAATAAAATGTACATACTTAAGGATGTAAAATATGAGTATTCAAACAAAATGTAAATCTTGCTCACGAATAAAAAATATTCATTCATTCATATTTAAAAATGGAATAATCTGGGAAAAATGTTAAGTGTAAAGTGGAATAACTTTAGTTACTTACTTTACATAGATTCAAAACAGTTTTTTTAAAAATATGGTCCAAAAAATTTAATGCGTGTTCTTGGAACAACAAAACAAGGATAAAGAAACATTGCAAGAATTTAAAAAATAAAAAAGTGAATAAATCGCTTACAGAACCTTAAAACCTACCTTTTGAAATTGAAATAAAAAGTGAAAATATCGAGTTAGTTGATTTTTTCAAAACCTGGATTACCAGCATCAACGAACAACGACGGGGGTCGCAATATCTTTGGCAATGAAGTGCTTTAACGTGCGCACCTGGCACATAGGCCTTATCACACGTTTAGTTTCTCAAGTCAGGAGTGAGTCCACATATGGTGGATAGTGTGCACTACCGAACAACAGCTATTGGGTTGTCCGGAAAATAATGCAGGATTTTAAGTTTTCATTAAAAAAAATCTATATAAAATATTCTGTTTACGTTTACAGGATTACTCATTTGTATGAATGTCAACACTTATTAATCCTCTTCCAAATGATATTGTTTGTTTACCTCTGTAGCATTCCGCTACTTGGAAATAATTCAGTCATCCTTATAATGTCAAAGCGAGAATTTCGTACGATTTTCTTTTACGAGTTTAAACTCGGCCGAAGCGGAGCCCAAACGGCTAGAAACATTAACCAAGTCTGGGGCGAGGGTTGTGTTAATGAGTGCACTGTGCAAAGGTGGTTTAAAAAATTTCGGGAGGGAGATTTCAGCCTTGAAGATGAAGAAGGTCGTGGAAGGCCTTCCTCTCTTAATGATGATGTTCTGCGATCAGTGGTGGGTGCAGAGCAACTCAAAGTCAGTAAAACGACCGTCGCTGACCACCTCAAGGCGATTGGAAAAGTGAAAAAACTCGAAAATTGGGTTCCACACTCATTAAACGATCGCCAAAAAAATCAGCGCTTTGATGTTTGTGCATCACTTCTTTGTCGAAACAAAAATGACCCATTTCTGGCCAGAATTGTTACATGTGACGAAAAGTGGATTCTCTACGATAACACTAGACGTTCTGGACAGTGGCTCGACAAAGGAGAAGCTCCAATACATTTTCCAAAGCCCCCAACTCATCAAAAAAAGGTAATGGTTACGGTATGGTGGGCTTCATTTGGTTTAATACACTACAGCTTCTTAAATCCTGGCGAAACCATCAATGCTGAATCATACTGTAACCAAATTAATACCATGCATCAGAAATTGGCAGTAATGAAGCCCTCTTTGGTCAATCGGAAAGGGCCCATTTTGTTGCATGACAACGCTCGACCACATGTGTCACGTGTAACGTCACAAAAATTATTGGAGCTTGGCTATGAAACTTTGCCTCACCCACCCTACTCTCCGGACCTCTCGCCTACTGACTACCATTTTTTTAGACACCTGGACCACTACTTAGAACACATAATATTCAAAAATCAAACGGAACTGGAAAATGCATTTATTGACTTTATCAATTCTAAAAATTCTGAATTCTACTCAGACGGAATTAATAAGTTACCAACACGTTGGGAGAAATGTATTGAGAGTATGGGAAATTATTTTGATTAAAGAACATTGCTTTAAAGTAACTAGTTTCTTTTTTTTTGTTTAATACCAAAATCCTGCATTATTTTCCGGACAACCCAATACTTCTCTAAGTACTGGTCAGCTGCCTTACCACTAAACCATTACGAGTTCACACCCATACAGCTGGACTTGGACTTGGAACGATTTTTCGCTGCCCCGTAGTTCAGATGGTTATGCACCCCCCGTCTATGCAGAAAGGATCTGGTACCCTAACTCCTGTGTGCCTCAGATAAAGCGCCCGCCTCCGCGGTCAGCTCGCAAGCGAACAACTCCCATAACGCATGTCGAGGGACTGGGTAGGCGTAGCCTTTGCATCCACGCACGCTGTACACTTCCTTCGTCCCATCTTCCAAATGCGCACCAGGAAACACGAATACTTGGGCTTTAGAGTGTGTTAAGTTCTCAACGCTATAGGATTATTTTCTGCCTGGAAACTCCCCTTGCAACCAAGGGTTGGGAACGGTCTGTTGCAGTCTACTTGCATCACTCTCTGCACAGTCCCGGGAATTGGATTTTTTGGCCTGGATTTGGAATTTGATGGAATTGGATTGGAGCAACAAAGAACATTATGCATCCAATGTAGTCTGAAGTAATCCGTATTTACAAATAATGCTTACCGGAAAACAGAAATAGCATGCAAATTAATTCAAAGCCAAGAAGAGAAAAAGGTCAAAAATCAGTCATAAATCAATATTCCTTTACCCTTGATATCTGAAACTTTTATAAAAATAAATATTGTTCGCATTGTAGATTTAGTTTTTCAGCAGGTTTTTTTAGAACATGTAGTATTAATATACTGATTGAAATGTGAGAAAAAGAATTTTTTTTCACATTGTTAGATCAATAATCGAACTTTTTTCATTTTAATTTCGATAGCATATAAATTATTTAAAGAAAATTAATATTTGAATATATACGTATAATCTTTATTGTACTATTTTAGGTCAATTTCAGAAGGTTTCGGATTTTAGGACCCCTCCTGCCGATTACGTGATAACGTGATAGATTCCGTTTCGACGAATCACTGAAAAGTGGTTCGGGCCAGGTGGTGTCAATTCCACCAGGATTCGACCATTGGCTTCGAAGAAATGAAAGCCGTAATGTGAATGGGTTGAACAAAATGCCAAATGGGCCGTTTCGGACCATCTGGTGGTACGAGCGAGTAATACCTTTTGGACTGTGTCGTTACCCTTAGGACATTTGATTAATAAAATGACTGACTATAATAAAATTCAGTATCAATCAGACAAATCAATGAGTGATAAGTAGGTACATAAAGGTGGTTATATTCATTAATTATACTTAGCATTTAAGTTATGTAAGTCTCTAACCAGTCATAATTAATAGAAGAGTTGTAATCGGTCAAAATATCCATGGCAGGCGAATCCATAATTAAAGTTTACCTCTACAAGTACGTATCACAAATGTAAAACAATTCGTCAGAAAATTCATTATTAATTTTATCTTCCACATACTATCTTATGTAATAACGCATAGGACTTGGGCCGATGGCGGAAATTGTATAAAATACCCCGTTGACCACAATTTAGATTAGTTTATTGTAGTCAGTGTTGGGCAAAAATTGTCATGTCTGATTAATGATTCATCAACTGTTAGTCATGATTGGTAGTAAGTGACTATTTAGTCATTAGTCGCCATATGTGATTGATGAATAAATTAGTCATGACTAGTAATTAAATACGAGGCATGACTAATTTAGTCACAATATAGTTAGTCATGACTAAATTTCGGTAAATCATGTTCAAATGGGTGCTCAAAAAATGAAAAATACACTTCATCACTTTTAAAAAATTTTCTAACAGAAATTTATTTCATCAAAACGAAAATCCTTCAACACCTTATTTAACAAAAATCAATCTTCCAATTATAAGTAAAACTCCGTCGTTATGAAAAGCCAAAAAATAATGATAATTATAATAATAATAATAAAATTTAAAAAAATCCTATAACAAGCTACGCTTTGAAAAGTAAATATGTTTACATAACCGATCAATGTAAAAAATATTTCTTTGAATTAAAATTTATTCCACTTAAAAGGAGAGATTTCTACATTATTTGGGAAATACACCATCTAGGGGTCTTGATTGTAATAAAATAGACATGTAGAATAATTATGTAACTTTGGTTTTCGTTTATGATAACACTTTTTGAAGGTTGGCCTTGAGCACGATTCTTATCTCAAAATTTTTATCCGGAGTCGGTTGGATTTTGGTAAGTTGGTCATTGTAGCCAGAGTTGGGCAAAATCAAACTACTTCAATCATGATTAAGAATTTTGTTTGAAGTTTAATCATGATTGAATTAGTCATGAGTAAATTAATCATTATGTGATTTAATCATAATTAATTCAATCATGAGGTATGACTCATTCAATCATGATTAAACTTCAATCAAAATTCTTAATCATGATTGAATTAGTTAGATTTTGCCCAACTCCGATTGTAGTGAACAGGTAGATGGAGGAATATCGAGTATTCCATCTACCACACAGTATTAGTGTGATTAATTTATGTTGGTGTGAATGTATTTATTTGTGTGAATGGAGCGGGGCTGATGGTGAAGTAGCATCTCGATCGCCATTCATGTTGCGTGAGTGACTTAGGTCTACGGCGGAAAACTTTTTAAGTACCCCATCGACTCTTAATTATAGTAGTCTATTATAGGGAACATGGAGGAATATCGAGTACTCCATCTACCAAACAGTATGCCTACGATCAATGTAAATAGGTATGAATGTATTTATTGGTTATTGGTGTGCGCGCGCGCTGGTGTGTGTGTGTGTGTGTGTATATCGAGCGTGTTGCGATATTTTGCTAGTGCTTCGGGGCTGAAATAACCAAGCTGTCGGATGCCCGTGTCAAAAAAAAACAACGCATAAATCAAAACTGTATATTAAATGTACAAAATAAAAATTTTATTGAGCAATTTTAGGCTAATATTTTCATCGAAAAATAAATTATATTTGCAAAACAATCTTCAATTTGTCCTCAAAACTACAAATACAGATTGG